AAAAAAAAAAAAAAAAAAAGGCTTCCTGTTGGAAAGATGAGATCTGTACTGGGCCTTGCATTTCTATACATATTGTCCTACAAATGTGACCTGCTTTGCTGAGTTTGACCAGAGCAGGTCACATTTGTTGGACAATATGTATAGAAATACATAATTATACTCAAAACTTCCTGCCAATTCCCACTCCCTTACCCACGGCAAATTTCACTGGTCTGTGGCCATACCTTCTCTCAGAATTTGAAAGTAGCCAGAACCACAATGAATGGACTGGAGTTGGCGCATGATGTTAGACATATTTGCCATATTAGTAATTATTATCAATAGATTGGGAAGATCGGATATTGGTACAGATTGTGGAATTGTTGGTTGCTAGGAATGTAAAATCTATTTTTGTAAACAAAATGCAATCTTTCAAGCAAGGGAGTAGCGTTATCAGAACTTCGAGTTCCATTTTTTAAACATTTAAATGTTATTTAGCATAATTAATGAGTTTGGACTGTGTAATCCCAAAATAATTTAGATAATTGTTATTTTAGTGTCTTAATTCCTCCATTGAATTTTGAATGTGTTTATCTAGGAAGATTAAGACATAGAGTAATAGAATGGGTTTCACTGGTTTTATGTTTTGTTTTGCTTTGTTTTGTTTTTTCTGTTTTAATCCTTATTTTTCTGCATAGTAGCTTAGACTTTTTTCAACCCAGTCGCCTTTTCTGATCTCTTCTTTTGGTCATTTCAATCCTCAGATTCCCAATTATTATAGCTATTCTTATGAGACTAGGTAAGCAGTGGAGATAAAAACTCTTAAGTTATTGGTTGTAGTTAACCCACTGAAAAACATAGGAAGACATCTAGAGGTTGATTTGTTTTGTTTTTATATAGAAGTGTCAAACTGTAGTATGAGTAAACTGCTTTTCTAAGGCAAGGAATCTTACATGTTTTGGATTCCCTCCAAAAGAGGTTTGTTATCAGAAGTGCTGAAAGAATCTCATAACATTGATTCAGCTATAAATAGTTCTGGAGTATGGACTTTGAAATTACTATTAAAGGGAAGCTCTTGGGTAATTTTATGGCCCCATGAAAATAATCTGTAAGATTATTTTTAATGTAAAAATATGAGTTACCATATTAGCAATTATTTTACACAAAGCAGTAGTAACAACTAAAATTGTAGAATTATGTTTGTTCTCTCACAAGACTTTTGTGGTGTGCAGGGGATTTTGTTAATGAAATATGTAAAGTTTTTTAAAACAATGGGAGACATTTCACTCTAATGTTGGAGTTTAACATGCATATTTTAGAATGTATTCCCAAACACTAACTTGCCATTTTAGAACAATGGGTGGTAGTAGTACTCTGATGGAAAATGTCCTCTAAGAACTATCGTAGAGGATACATTTGATGGACATTAGAAGTAAAAAGTCAAAACAGACTTTTGGAGGTTTTCATTTAGGATTTTCTGATATTAAATATTGCTGCCATCAGACCCGCATACCCTGGTTTCTAAGAGTCCCTACAATTGTAAATGCTAAAGCAAAATAAAGATAATTTAATTAGTGGCCTGCCTTCAGTTAGGTACAATATTTTTGTCTTCATTTTTCAGACAAAGTAACTGAAGACCCACTAAGATCTGCCTAAATTTGTACACCTGCTGAATGGCAGAAAAAAGTCAATAGGTCACACCTCCCACCTTCTGTTATAGCAGTAACTCTAAACTTCAAGTTTCAGGATCCCTTTCCACTTCTAAAAATTATTTAGGTCTTCAAAGAGCTCCTGTTTATATGTAGTCTCTCTACCAATATTTCTATATTAGAAATAAAAACTGAGATGTGCAAAACCATATTTATGTATTGATTCATTTTAAAATAATATTAAATAATAAAGAAATAATTATATTAATAAAATATAATAAATAGCAATAAATTATAAATAATAATTAAATATTAAATAATAATTAAAAATTTTGTGTGGTTACATAAATAATTTTATTTTCTCAAAAATAGATAGTGAAAATAGAAGAGTGGCATTGTTTTACATGTTTGCAAATTTCTTTAATGCCTGGCTTTTCCTATCAGCTGTATTCTCATAACTGCTGAATTGTTATTCTGTTGTGATGTTACACATCATTTAGCCTCTAGAAAACTACTGTACAACTAACTGTATGAGCAAACAACAATTTAAAAAGACTAATAACATTTTAGTGTTATTATGAAAATGGTTTTAATGGTTTTAACCTTGTGAACTCTCTGAAAGGATCTCAGGAATCCTTAGGGGTCCCTGTACCATGCTTGGGTAACCTTTGCATGATAGCATTTTTTTTTTTAGTTTTTGCTGACAGTGTCTCACTTTGTTGCCCAGGCTAGAGTGCAGTGGCACAATCATGCAGTCATGGGTCGCTGCACTGCAGCCTCAACCTCCCGGACTAAAGTGATGCTCCCACATCAGCCCCTCCACCCTACCAAGTAGCTGGGACTACAGGCACATGCCACGAAACCAGCCTAAATTTATTTTTTAATTTTTGTGTAGAGACACGGTCTCTCTATGTTGTCCAGGCTGGTCTTGCACTTCTGGCCTCAAGCAGTCCTCCCGCCTCAGCCTCCCAAAGTGCTAGAATTACTGGCATGAGCCACCATCCTAGCCTGCATTGTAGCATTCTGTCACAGTTCTCTTCCTAGTGCTGTGGTCAGTTTGATGGGTTACGTTTTGTTTTGTTTTCTCTTCTTGACTATCCAGGTTTTTGTTTCTTTGAGACATTTGTTTTGTTTTTGTTACTGTCTTACCATGACAGAGAGAGACTAGGATATTATAATTAACCAGAGAAGCCATAAAAAAGAGTCAGGAACCTTAGTTACAATGACAGTGGCTATCAACTATTTTTTCCTTATCTATGACTCTAGCCTGAAATGGAATCTGCCTCTCTCTGACTCTTGAATTTCCCTTGAAGGGAAGGTAAGTAAAAGTTTATGAATATCTAAGATTTGGTTATGACTTCTTGATAGCCACCTTTGCCTGACCTTAAATCATTTATTAGCTCATATCCTCTATCCAGATGAAGATAATCATATTTTTCTATTATATGCCCTAGTCTCAATAGTACATCTTTTGCCAAAGTTAAGAGATGTTTATCTCCCAAAGAGGGGGAGTTCTTTGACCAAATTCAAATCTAGTTTCTGCTCTTCTTTTTTTTTTCATTTCGTGCTCCCAGAACCAGCTGCAAATGCTTATTCTAACCTTTGGGGATCCATTGTTTCAGGTCTACCCATCCTATCTGATAATTATTGACTTTAGTGTCTATGGGCAAATACCCCAGAGAGGGCAAGATGTTCTGGCCCATTGTTTTCATGATAGTGTGCAAGACTCTTAGGGTAAGAAATCAAAGATTAATTGTAATCTCAATTTGTGCCTAGGTAAAACACCAAAAATATTTTGAATATTCATTATGGCTCCTGAACCAAGCTACAGGCAAGATCAGATACTGATAAGCACTCTGATATAAGCTCTTTTTTCTATATCAGTCAATTTGAGGCCTTATAGGCAAACACAGAGCAATAGAACACATTATTTATTCACATCAAAGATAAGAGCAATATATGCATCTGCTTTGATTTGTATGGAGATCATGGAATATATCTGACCTTGTATGAACTTTTCAGATGAAACGTACTGAAAGGACTGTACTTTAACACCAAAAAAACAAAAGTTACAGTCTTCGATTTGGTCGTTGTATTTCTGAAAGCCATAAACTCTCAACCTGTAATTTTATAACAATGACTCACAGCTCAATTTCTTATTTTTCTGCAAGCAGTAGTATTCTGAGATTTCAAGGGGGAAATAGCTTTAAATACAAATATATAGCCTAACTTAATTTACTACAATAGTACACATAAGAAAATATACTAGTTTACTAATATCACATACATCAAAGATCATAAAAATTAGATTCACTGTTAAATGAATTGTGTTTCAGGCCACTGGAAAACGAGATCATAGACTTGCAATGTTGAAAACTCGTCGCTGCTACCTGGAGAAAAGGAGGGAGGAGGAACTGAAGCAATTTGATGAGAATACTAATTGGCTCCATCGTGTCGAAAAAGAAATGGGACACTTAGGTCAAAATGGTCATATTCCAAAGGTACAAATATCTCTGTATGTTCAGATTTAATTTGTAAGAACTGAGCTCCTAAAATGTGTTCTCTTTCTTATTGAGTGAATGTCTTTCATAAGACAACTATTATTGACTCATAACTCTGAGATTTAATTTACTTTTAAATGTTATATCTAAGTGATTGCATCCTTTTATAAGGTAGCTTTTAGGTTAAAATAAATAATTCTATTTCAAACTGTACTTGAGGATTCATTATGTAGGTAATTTGTTAGAAATGTTGATATTTTATGCAAAAATAGTTTAAATGAGGTCAACATTAAATGTGTTATGGTTAAAGTTGATTTGAAAGGGTGTGTATGTGTGTGTGTGTGTAACTGAAGATATTCCACCTTAGAATGGCAAAAGGTTTTATTTTTAAAGTGTAGTAATGGGTAATGACAGTATCATATTAGAATTATGTTCTGCTACAAGGTTGCAGTAATCTAACTTTAGTGCCTTAACTAGTGTGGGCTGTCTTTTGTTCTCTTAACAATAAGTCTTGGAAGTATGCAGTTCATTTCTAATGCAGTACCTTTAAAATGTCATTATCATGCTTGTCGTTTCATGATTGTAATATTACTGTTTCATATCTAGTCTCAAGTTTACACACCTAAGCCAGAAGAGGAAAGAAAGGAGGAGGGGATGGCTATATAGGAGAGCAAAGATGTTTCCAAAAATTCCTAACAGACTAATGTGTTGGCTAGAAATATGTCACATGGCTATCTGTAGATAGAAGACATTCTGAAAAGATGACCTCTTTTTTTTTTTTTTTTTTTGCATAATTTCTCTGAACAGTATTGGAGCTCTCTCTCTTTTTTTTTAACTTTAAATTCTGGGATACATGTGCAGAATGTGCAGGTTTGTTACATAGGTACACATGTGCTGTGGTGGTTTGCTGCACCTATCAACTTGTCCTCTAGGTTTTAAGCCTGGCATGCATTAGGTATTTGTCCTAATGCTCTCCCTCCCCTTGCCCCCACCCCCAACAGCCTCCGGCATATGATATTCTCATCCCTGTGTCCATGTGTTCTCATTGTTCAACTCCCACTTATGAGTGAGAATGTGCAGTGTTTAGTTTTCTGTTCCTGTGTTAGTCTGCTGAGAATAATGGTTTCCAGCTTCATCCATGTCCCTGCAAAGGACATGAACTCATTCGTTTTTATGGCTGCATAGTATTGCATGGTGTATATGTGCAATATACCTTTTCTTTATCCAGTCTATCATTGTTGGGTATTTGGGTTGGTTTCAAGTCTTTGCTATTGTAAATAGTACTGCAATAAACATATGTGTGCATGTGTCTTTATAATAGAATGATTTGTAATCTTTTGAGTATATACCCAGTAATGGGATTGGAGATCTCTTAATAAGAAAGAAGAAGAAAGTAAATATGGGCTAAGCAACTAGGAGCAACTGCTATGAAATAACTAATTTTCACCCAAATACTTAATAGTTTAATAAAAGAACAACTTCTTTTCAGTCTTTTTCTAAAAGGAAAAATATCTACAGTCTCTACTTTGGTGATGCTCTTCTGAAATTCTGTAACTCTGTGTCAGCTAATTGATATGGAAACTTCTAAAATCTTTTAATTCCTAGAAGGGCACCAGACAGAAAATACAGGTGAAAGAAAATATAAAATATTTACCAACAAATGCCAGAGATCTTTAATGTTCAAAAGTACTAATTTTTTATAATTCAAAGATATCAGTCAATGCATTATGACTGGGGAATGGATTCTCTGATGGGTTAGCAATGGCTGTAAATGATTATTCTTTTAACATGAAAGCTCAGACATGACTGGAGAGAAAAGACTAGCAGTAGTAGTTAATGATGACAGTTCAAAGTAGTGAAAGGAGCAAGCAGCAGATATCCTGTTTGCTAAGAAGGAAGCCAAAGACAGTAGTTCCTTAGTATGGATATTTATTGAGCCAACAATTTAATCTGCACCTCAGAATATCTTGATAAAAGCATACCAGTCAGTTAGTTAAGTAGATTAGGACATTAAATATTGTATACAGCACATTCTAGTAATATTTTGCAATAATGTAACTTAGTCTATAAGGCACTTTAAAATATTCCCCACAAAAAGATTGTAAACACTGGAAAGAGGATAGATTTTGGAGTTGGAGTGTTTGGTAATTCTGGCATATAGTAGTTGTTTTGAATACCAACTCTAACACTAATTATATGACTTTGGACAGTGCGTTTAACATTAATGTCTTAATTTGTCATCTATAAATGTATTTAAGATATTATGAGCTTAAGTGGAGTGCTATATTCAAAGCCTAGCAACACTTAACATATAATAATGGATGATAAATAATAGTTTAATACTATTCTAAGCTACAATAGCATAGACATCAATAGCTAAGCAAGTTGTACAAAGAATGAGTGAGTGTACACAGTTAACAAAAGAGTTAACTGCATCATATAATATAATATAATTTAATATAATATATAATGTAATTTCTCTTCCAGAACAGTGATTCTGACCTTTTTGGGGGTCATAGATGCCTTTGAGAATCTGTTCAAAGCTGTGTGGATTTTCTCCCAGATGAGAGATTGGGGAGGTCAAATTCATACAATTTTGCATATTTCCTAAGTCATTTGGGTTTCCTAAAACCCTTCCATTGACACAAGATTAAGAATATCTACTTCAGAAGGAAACTATAGCACATTTTTTTAAAATGTTGTATCCATCTTAAGATGATGTAACGACTCAAAAGGAGTAAGCAAAAAAAGACAAGATTCATCAATAAACTATAATATGGTTAGCTAGGATCAGAGGATATAACTTCTGAAATTCCATATAAAGCCATAGAGGCTCATCATAGAATGCAACAGGCTCTATCACAGTACCTGTAGGAATACTGAAATATGGTTATGTCATTGATAAAATCGTTTCAAAGAAAACGACTGATAACCCTGGCCAAATGAGTGTTTCTCATTTAATGCACAAGAGTTGCTTCTCTTGGATTGGTAGCAGGTGTGGAATGTTGACAGTACTTTTCAATTTATTTCACTTATTATTTAATTGTTTATTTGGAGACTGTATATCTAAAGCAGTCATATTCTCAAGATCATCATTTTCTAAACTATATAAAACTCTTAAGTCTTTTGGTTAGTGTTAAACTTTGACCTCATTTAAAAATAACTACTTTCCTTAATTTGTTTGGTTACTTTGGGCTATGATATTCTCATAGATTATTTACCCCTTCTAGTCAGCAAAAATTTTCTCATGAAGAGTCTTGAAACAACTTTTTGTGTGTAGTAAAATATAACATAAAATTTACCATCTTAACCATGTGTAGATACACAGTTCAGTGACATTAAGTATATTAATTAAAAATTTTAAATATGTGTGTATATAAGTTTTAAATAATATTCCTAGAGTATTTTCACCTCTCAATATCCTAACTCAATTTACATTATGCTTGTATTATATGTTTGTCCATGTAATCAACATTCCAACTGCAGAAGTACTTAAGAACTTATGAAATATTAAGGAGGCAAAAAAGTCATTTGTAGAAATTTACTAGTTTGCCTTTTCTATCCCACATTACCATAAGCTTCCAATTTTAAAAATGGTATGGTATTGTTTCTGATATCATTATTATTGCTATTTTGTGTTTGCTTTTTTGTCCACTTTTTAGTGTTTATGAAGTTAATCAGTATTGTCTAGATTATTTTTAATAAATTAAAACTTTTTCAATATGGTCAAATTAATTTTTCTACCAATCTGTCGTCTAGATTTCTCTTATGAAGAACTTTTGTATACCTGAATGTGAACCTGGAACTGATTTTTACATCTTTGTTTTTTATGCATTTTATCACAAATAACTTGAACAAATAAAATTAAAACCATTTTCATTGCCATCACCCAAATCTAACCCTCAATTCTTTTTTGTGCAGATATTTATAGCTGAAAAAATAGCTGAGAAAATTATCTAGTTATAAGCCATTATTTTTTATATAAGCAAATCGAGACATAGCTTTACAATAAAGGGACTTATCCAAGGTCAAACAACTCTGGACAAATACCCAGAACTTCTGACTTTCAAATTGCTGCTGTTTTCTCTATACTCTCCTGCATTATTTACTCTTCAATATTCTGAATCTGTCTACTTCTCTTTATACCCCTCTACTGCTATCCCTAATTCAGACTCCTGTGCCCCATTATTGGACTGATACATTTGGTCTTTCTTCTCTGATTCATGTTCTACTGCAATTCATTCTCTCCACTGCAACCAAAGTGAGTTTCAAAAGGTAAAACTGATCATGTTGTTCTTCAGTGCCTTCTCCCTAGAATAAATTCTCCATTGTGAGTTACCAGGCCTAGCATGATCTGGCACCTGAATACTTCTCAAGGTTTATATATCACCTTTCATTATACTCTATACTTTAGCCATTACTGGCCTACTTATACTTCTCAAAATAAGCCGTGTTCTTCCAATCAGATTTAGTCATTAGTATGTCAAGAAAGACTCAAATTGTAAACTTGGTTTTCCAAAGTTAACAGGCTAGCCAAAGACCCATTATTGACTAATATAATTATACAATCAAGTCTTGTCTCTTTAAAAGACTGACTCAAGAAGATAAAGGAGTAAGATTATCAGAGGATGTGTATAAAGGAGGGATTTTTTTTCTTTATACTTTAAGTTTTAGGGTACAAGAGCACAATGTGCAAGTTTGTTACATAGGTATACATGTGCCTGTTGGTTTGCTGCACCCATCAACTCATCATTTACATTAGGTATTTCTCCTAATGCTATAAGGAGAGGTTTTTTTTAAAGGAAAAAAGATGCAATGTGTGGCAAACATGTTCACACTATTATGATCACCCAATTTTCTAACTATTAATAGAAAGAACCAAAGAGATCATCTGATCCAGCTCTTTAATTTTAGTCAAGTAAACTAATCTCCATAAAGAGCATATATTTGGCTTAAGATGACATTTGTTTCTAGGTTAAACCCATCTCTGAAATCACATGACTCTAGCCATATCATCCTGCCTCCAAAGATAAATTTTTTTCTAAAACATTTGATATATTTCTTGAAGTATAATGAATTACATAAATAACTCCTAACTTTAATATATCCAGACAAACAGGATGAGTGACATTGTTCTCTGTCATAGTCTCAATAACTGGCATTGGAAGTACTTTTTAAAAAGGAAAAAAATAACTTTGACATTTTAGAAAATTATTGGTCAACTGCACATTGGAAAGGAGTTTTATTAAAATTGATTTAATCTTAATATTCTTTAAAAGAATCTGAAGAATACTTTGCATTGTTTCCACTCACTAAAGCTAAGATGGATTATGGGAATTGTCCCTAGGAGGAAGTGTCCAGTTTCCAGGCATAGCTCTCCTGCATATAGGGTTCCTGTCTTAGCCATTCAAAGTGTCCAAAGAATTTAAATTTTTTTCATTGTATTGACTGAAATTTTTCCAATAAAGTTTCTGAGAATATTTGATTATCACCATTTATACTTTGGTGTAATCCCTTCGCTGATATTTTCTGTAGATAAGGTTTAGTAGGTTTAAGGAAAGACAAGTAACTTTAGGTAGTAGATTACAGGACACCTGGCCCTAGGCAGATGAGGCTTAGGAAAATGGAGCCTACAAAAAACATTTTCACACTTTTGCTAGGATGAAGCTTGTATCAAGAGTAGGTCTCAAGTCTTCTCTCTTTAAAAGAAGAAAGATTCAAGAAGATAAAGAAGATTATCAGAGGACGTATATAAAGGATATTTTTCTTTTAAAGGAAAACAGATGGAATATTTGGCAAACATGTTCACACTATTATGATCATTTAATTTTCTAACTGGAAAGGACTGAAGAGATCATCTGATCCAGCTCTTAAAATTTAGTCCAGTAAACTGATCTCCATAAAGGCTGTATATTCAACTTAAGGTAGCATTTGTTTCAAGGCCTTATAAGCCCATCTCTAAAATCACATGACTCATAGGCCAGTGCTCTAACCATATCATCCAACCAAAGGTGATATCAACCATATGATCTTTTGTTTCATGCAAAAAAAAGAAATTTTTATTGCACACAACTCAAGACTTAGTACACTGGGGCTTTAACACTGAACTAACCTGACTCAATGCCTGTGCTGATGGTAAACTGTATGTTCTGGTATGAACAGAGAAATTATAAATAAATGAATACATCAGTGAAATTGTTACTGATCAATGCAGTCAATGCTATGACAATATCGAGGGGTGGAGAGTGTCTATCCAAATACAATGCTCAGGGAAAGCCTTTCTGAGGAAGTGACATTTAAGCACAAACTGGTCATATTTATGTATTTTTACAACATCGTGAACAAGTTGGATAGACCAAGAAACTGTCATCACAGTAAAATTTCTTCTAAATTCTTAACACTCAGTTTCTGACGAAACATGAAAACTTATCTTGCTTGTAAATTATAGACCACCTTTTCCAGAACTCTTATTTTTCAAATTATTTCTAAACATATCATTTAATATCTAAAAAGAATTAAAACTATTGGCAACAATATAAAATAAGTGTTATTAAACTGATTTAATTTCAATATTCTTAGAGTAATCTGAAGTACATTTTATATTGTTTGTCCCAGGAACTCAAGAAAGATCTTCATTGTCACCATTTGCACCTCCAGAACAAAGATTTGAAAGCACAGATTAGACATATGATGGATCTAGCTTGTCTTCAGGAACAGCAACACAGGCAGACTGAGGCGTGAGTACATACATCTACCTATTTTCCAATTTTAACACTATATCTGAAGCACAGAAGTTCAATTTTCCACTGCCAGAAAATTGAGTTTTATGTGTTACAGGATACATTATTTTTAAGTGTCTGCCTGAACCAGAAAACATTAAGAGAGTTCTTTTCTTCCAACAAACTTTTTACATTGCTTTATAAATTTGAAAGTGTTTTTCTTTAAAAGTACGTTACTTTTACTTAATATATGCTATGGAATACAAAATTTCATAAGTACCTACACATTGAAAAGAAATCTGCCTTCTACCTCTATCTTCTAGCCATCCATGTCTCCTCTTAGAAGCAAGTGCTGTTAACATCACTTGAATTTTTAAGTAGGCAATTGTTAATTATTCATAATTTCAGAATTTTTTGCTGTCATTACAGTGAAGTTGCTAAATATCAGGTGTCCTGATTTTTATGGGATGCTATAAGAGACCTTTTATGTTCTCTCTTCTAGCTCAGTAGTAACATTAGTCATTTATTTTTAAAACATAATAGTAAAAAAGAAAAAGTATGGCTTAATCTTTTTTTGTCACATTGGATACATCAGTCAACTCCTTAGGCATCACTTTGATGTTCCATGCAAATGAGAAATTTATTTCTCTAACTGCTTTCTGCTACTCTGAGAATCTATTCATGTTCTACTAGTATGTTCAAATAACTGATAATTAATTATCTTGATTTAGAGGAAATCATGTTAGTATACCTTTTTTTAAAAAAGAAAAATGAAAAACTTCAGGGAGTTATTCTTATGTGGCTGGAAGCTCAAACTAATCTCTTTATACTTTCTGTGTCTATTCCTAGAGCAGATATTGAATATTCATTTGCTAACACTCAAACCACTTACAAGAGCTGAAGTCATCAAGAAACATTAATTTCTTTTAACCATACTACATTTGCTATATCAGACCCTAGATGAATACACTATCTTAAGATAAACATTAACCTTAAAATGGGGGAAAAAAGACTAACTCAATAATTTAGAAAATTGGTGAACCACAGCATCACAGAGGCAATGTGGCATAGAAGAAAGAGGATGAGTTTTGGAATCAATCTTGAATTACAGTTTTTATGAGCAATATAACCTTATGCTGATTATTTAGCTTTGCTAAGCCATGGTTTTCTTATATAAAAATAGATTATAATACATTTCATATAAAGGTTATGAATAGATTATAATACATTTCATATAAAGTTTTTGAAAAGATTAAACATGAAAGTAAATAACATGATATAATTCCTGTGTTATAGGTCCCTAGGACTACTTTCAGGTTCAGTGATTCATTAGGGAGACTCACAAGACTCATCATATAGTTTTATTATTAGTTGTGCTTTATTTCAGCAAGAGGCTACAAAGCAAAATCGGCAAAGGGAAAAGGTACAGGGGGCAAAGTCTGCAGGAACCCTGACACAAAGTTTCAAGAGTCTTTCTCCAGTGCAATCACACAGAATGTGTACAATTCCTCCAGCAAAAAGTTGTGGCAGCACATGTGAAATGTTGTCTGCTTTGGAAGCTCTTTTGAGTTCCGTGCCCCAGGTTTTTATTGGAAGCTAGTTGCATAGGCACTTTCTGCCAGGATGTATCAAGATTCCAGACTTTTCAAAAGGAGAGAAGGTGTTTTAGCATAAACCACATTGTTTGTGCAAACAGTTTAAGCACAGTGAGCCACTCTTGTCATATGAGTTCTGGAAATGCTGGGAACCCTCCTAAAATCCGTATTTTAAAATACCAGCCAGGTGTCAACCTTATAACCAAGCCTTTCTTAGCAGTGTCAGGCCTACTATGATAACTTTCCTGCACAGTACCTGATTAGTGTAGATGCTAAATAAGTAATTGTTTAATTGCCTTTGATTAATAACTTCTTCTTGTACTTGTTAGCTACTTAATTGCAGCACCCTCCAGCAACCCCCACCAAAAGGAAAAAGGTCACAATTTTTTGTGCTGCTATTGAAATATTTAAGACTCATAGGTTAAAAGGTGCTGTTTCCTTGTGTATGAAAATTAATGCCTGATTAGTCTTTTCCCACTACCCTATCCATAATTCTACTGGTTCTCTTCTCCTCGATGTTATGAGACGACTGGAACATCATCTTGATGGACTCAGGATTCCAGGACTGAATCACTTCAAGATCATTCATGTTAGACATCTTCCTTTATAGAAAAGTTGGGAACCACTGATTGAGTGTATAAATTTATAACTGTTTAGCTGTGACATTTCTTCAGTGACTACTTACATAGAAGTCTGATACACAAAAAATTACATTCAGTGCTGCTCTAATTGTTACTAATAAGGAAGATTTTGAGTTAGAGCCATGAATCCAGTGCCCTAACGATTATTTGTACTCCCCATCCTTATCCACAACTTTTCTCCTTAAAATCCCTTTAAGTGCCATTCCAAAAGCCATTCTTTAGGTCATTTAACTTAAAGGAGAGGTAGGTTTTGTTCTTTTGTTATGTGTTTGTGTGTGTGTGTGTGTGTGTTATAATATTGTATACTTAAAATATATCTCATCATTTCACATAGTATATTAATTTTTCATTTCAATTTTATGATAATTAGTAGCAGTAACAATATCTGTGGTTTGGAAATCACATTATGTTTTGCAAAAAGCTTTTATGTACATTTAATTCATTTAGCCAAGCACAGTGGCTTATCCCTGTAATCCCAGCACTTTGGGAGGTGGAGGCAAGAAGATCTCTTGAGGCTAGGTGTTTGAGACCAACCTGGGCAACATAACATGACCCCATCTCTACCAAAAAAATTAAAAAGTTAATGTAGTGGCTTACATCTGTGTTCCCAGCTACTCGGGAGCCTAAGGCGGGAGGATCAAGTGAGCCCAGGAGATCGAGGCTGCAATGAGATGATCATGCCACTGCACTCCAGCCTGGGCCACAGAGTGAGACCCTGTCTCTAAAAAATAAGTAAATAAATATACTTAATTCATTTAGTCCTCAAAGCAATCTCCTGTTGTAAGTAGTGGCTATTTATCTGTCCCTCACATTACAGAGGAAAAACTTCAGTTTTTGCCTTGTCCAAGGTCATATGGAAGCAAGTGAAGACAATCTGAGACTAGAACTTAGTTCATACATGGGAAATTATTTTAATGATATGCTAATACTTTGGGTGTTACATAAAAGAACTAAAATAATGTATTTAAAATATAACATTTATCTCTCCTTTCTTCTCATCTTCTGTATATAGAGTATTGAATGCTTTACTTCCAACCCTAAGAAAACAATATTGCACATTAAAAGATGCTGGCCTGTCAAATGCTGCTTTTGAGTCTGACTTCAAAGAGATCGAACACTTGGTGGAGAGGAAAAAAGTGGTAGTTTGGGCTGACCAAACTGCTGAACAACCAAAGCAAAATGATCCACCAGGGATTTCTGTTCTTATGACCTTTCCACAACTTGGACCAGTTCAGCCTATTCCTTGTTGTAAGTATAACTTTCGTTTTAAGTAAATAGTAACATTATTTCTAAAGATAACCTTTGTATATCAATCTATAGAACAGTTAATTTTTAATAGATTTGGCTATTTTATTAAAATTAATTGGGACCAGGCGCGGTGGCTCACGCCTGTAATCCCAGCACTTTGGGAGGCCGAGGCGGGCAGATTATAAGGTCAGGAGATCGACACCATTCTGGCTAACACGGTGAAACCCCGTCTCTAGTAAAAATAAAAAAAATTAGCCGGGCATGGTGGTGAGCACCTGTAGTCCCAGCAACTCAGGAGGCTGAGGCAGGAGAATGGCATGAACCTGGGAGGTGGAGCTCGCAGTGAGCCGAGATGGCGCCACTGCACTCCAGCCTGGGCGAGAGTGCGAGACTCCATCTCAAAAAAATAAAAAAAACTTAATGGGAAAAGTACCTTTATAGTCATTTCAATTCACCAGTATCGTCCAAAGATCTAGAACAAGTATGCATTGATGTTCTAATTTTACCCTCTTTTTTTTGTTTTTTTTTTTTTTGAGACAGGGTCTCACCCTGTTGCCCAGGCTGGAGTGCAGTGGTGCAATCAAAACTTGCTGCAGTCTCCACTTCCTGGGCTCTAGCAATCCTCCCACTTCAGCCCCAGGAGTAGCCAGGACTTACAGGCATGCACCACCACCCCTGGCTTTTTTTTTTTTTTTGTCCTGTGGAAACAAAGTATCACTATGTTACCCAGGCTGACCTCAAACTCCTGGACTAAAGCAGTTCTCTCCCTTGGCCTCCCAAATTGCTGAGATTATAGGCATGAGCCACTATGCCTGACCCGTTTTACCTATTTTTGATGGAATAATTTTGCTTCCTATCCTTCCTTAAAATGTAACCTCTATTAAGGGCAGGAAATTATAATTAATCATATCATATTCTATAATAATAATCTGTTCTTAAGATCAACTAACAATGTAGAGTTTACTATTTTTCTATTGATAAATCACTTGATATTTCTCTTTCATAAAAGTATGTATGAGACATTTTAATTGCAAAGCTAACATATAATCTTAGTTAAGAAAAAAATTCAGACAATGTAGAACATAAGAAGTAGAGTGCCATCTTCAACTCTTCTCAGAACCTCAATTTTATGCCCTATCTCAGAGATTAAATGCTGTTAAATATTTATTTTTGCAGTATGTGTATAATACAAATGTATTTGTATTACATAAAGCTTTTTGATAAGTTTCACATGAATGCTAGCACATTACACATAGTGGTCTGCAACTTTTTTGTCTAGTTTATTATGTTTGTTGGTTTTATTTGTTTATTATGAACATTTTTAGGGTACATACATGAAGAATCTACCTCATTTTTGTATTGTTTTTGAGAATCCAGAGAATAGACATACCATAATTTAATTAACCATTTTCTGTTAGTGAACAGTACATCAGAGAACATATCTGTATATTCCCATTTGTGTGTGCATAGCAGAATCCTAGGAGCTGATTTGCCAGGGTAAAGGACATATCTTTTTTTTTTAATGCATCATTTTAAACTGCTTTTTGTAATTTTTTTCTATGCTTAGTACACATGGGAGTACCTGTTTAATCTTCACCTAAACCAAAAGTAGTAACAACAGCAATAATAATAATGCATAGTCTTTTTTTTTTTTTTTTTTTCTGAGATGGAGTCTTGCTCTGTCACCCAGGCTGGAGTGCAGTGGCACAATCTCTGCTCACTGCAAGCTCCATCTCCCGGGTTCACGCGATTCTCCTGCCTCAGCCTCCCAAGTAGCTGGGACTACAGGAGCCCGCCACCACACCCAGCTAATTTTTTGTATATTTAGTAGAGACGGGGTTTCACCGTATTAGCCAGGATGGTCTCAATCTCCTGACCTCGTGATCCACCCGCCTCGGCCTCCCAAAGTGCTGGAATTACAGGTGTGAGCCACCGCACCCAGCCGCATAGTCTTTTAAAATTTGTAACTCTCAGATTATTGACAAGGCCAATTCATCCCCTGTGAGGTATCCTTTGCTCATTCGCACTAGTGAAAATTTTTGTTTATTTGTTATGGGTTTGAGGGGCTTTTTGTTTGCTTAGTCTTTTGCTTGGCACTTCGTATCTAATAACTCTTTGTTCATTTGGTGCTTTACATATATATATATATGTTAAGCAATAATTGATCAATTTATTGGACTTTTAACTTTTATATAGTCAAATCTGCCTATGTTTTCCATTATGGGGAATTTTCTTGAGATCTGGTGTTTGTTAGCCCCTCACTCCCAACTAGAGTTCATTTTTCTTATGTGAGCTAAATGTGTGCTGGGACATTTGGCTCAAATGTGTCCCAGCACACATTTAGCTCACCTAAGACAAATAGACAAATAGTTGGGAATGAAGGGCTAATATGTAAGACCTTATTCACAGAGAATAATAATCTGTTGAAGTCAGATTTTATGTTAAGTGTTGCACCTGTGAATACAATCTGACTTCTGGCTTACTGAAATATTTTCCCAGTCTTTGGCTTTTAATAGTTTTATTATATTATGCCTAGTTGACTTTATTTTTACTTCTCTTAAGTGGGTTGATGACTTTCTGAATTTATTTCTGCATTATCTTTCATTTGTTTTGGAAAGTTCTTAACCATTATCTCCTCACCTATTGCTTTTGTCACTTTTGCTCTCTCCTCTACTTTTGTGACTCCAATTATATTGCATGGCACTTTCTCATTGTATTGTATATGCCTTTTACTCTTTTGCTTTTAATGTGTTTTTCTCTCTCTGGATAATTTTGTTTCTCACATTCTGCAGTTTACTTTCTTTTTTCAGCTTTATCAAATGATCCTTAAATCCATAAAATTTTTAATTTCAGTCACTACATTCCAATTCTGGAATTTCCATTGCATTCTTTTTTATAGTTTCATATCTTTGCAAAAATTGTTATTAAGTACAAAGGTTATAATTACAGTCAGCCATCCATATCCATGGGTTCTGCATCCATGGATTCAACCAAGTGATCAAAAAAAAAAAAAATGGATGGTTTCATCTGTACTGAACATATAGACTTTTTTTGGTCATTATTCCCTAAACAGTGCATCATAACTATTTACATAATATATATATAGTATTAGATATTGTAAGTAATCTAGAGATTGTTAAAGCCTATGGTAGGATTGTATAGGTTGTGTGCAAATGCTGTATTATTTTTTATGTAAAGAATGTGAACATCCATGAATTTTAGAATGATCATGCAACCTATCCCTCACAGATACTGAGAGACAACTATAATTTAAAGTCTATGTCTAAGAATTCCAAAGTCTGTAACCACTGGGTCTGTTTAGACTGATTTTCTTGCATGTGGTCTTAATTCCTCATATGCACGCAAATTTTTTGTGTGCCAGTCAGGTATTTGCAAAATTGTTTGCAGAATATTTTGATGCATCTGATCACAATATTAAAAATCTCAGAGAATATTTACAATTCCTTCTTTCAGACTCCAGGTAGCATTAGCAATTCAAAATCACTTGAGTCCTATTTCAGAGACTGAGATAATTTGATACTAAACTGTAGTTTCCTGAGGGCCTGCCTATTTCTGATTTGCCCTCTGCAGTATAGCTGTTCAGAGTCCCAACTCAAAGCAAGGAAGATTTACAAAGATCCTCATTTCCAATTCCAGCACCCTATTCCCACAAAGTTCTTAACACTGTTGCTATGCTTTTCTGCCAGCTCTTCCAGCATAAGCAAACAACCTCAAGGGGAAATTAGCTGAAATTACAGAAGTTACTTTCCTGAGCCTCCAACTTCCTCCTGATACTCACCTATAGTTTTTCACCATCTTATTAATAATCCAGTGCCTTCAAACAGATGTTTTTTATCTTTTGTCCAGACTTTTGGTTGCCTTCAAAAGAAAGGTTGGTCGGAATTATCTCCATCTTTATTATTAGCAGAAGTTCCCTATATTATACCTTTACTTTAAGATAATAGGGAAAGTTGGATAGATTATCTTAAAACAGATATATTGTATGTACACATATATATTCTTTCTCATTTAATAAAGCATGTGACCTGACCTAGTTGCGATCTCTGGAGAGCAAAACTTAAGTTTTTTTCAGATTCTCTTATACCTTTTGGGCGTAATTCTTTTTTTATAATGTACTCAAGATGTTAGAAAGGAAATAGGATTTTAACACCAAGATCGAGAAATACTGACCACCTGCTATATGATGCTCATTATTCCTTATTTAAAAATCTGTATTTCACATACAGTATAATTGCATAGACTATACTTGTCAACAATAAAACAAAAGAATTTACTTGACTCTTAATTCCTTCTCATAGTATTTTTGAAGGAAAGACTTGAAGCCATGTTACATTTTATAATTACGTATTTTCTCTTGAAAACATATTAGAAGGTGGGTTTTGTTTTTATAAAGTTTTGTTCTTGGCTTGTTACTTTACTATTTCATTCAAATTATTTTAGAGATGAACTATTTATTTATTATGTATTTTCCATTTCATGAATTATGTGTGTTGTATACATGATGAATAGTGTCAAGGGGGAATAATAGGAACGGTGTTTATAAGTGAGTTCAAGTGCCTTAGGGACCTTTAAAAGTATTTACTAAATTAACTATATTCTTTTTACTTAAATACACACACATGCAGTGCTTTTAAGAATCTGGGGCAGGCACAGTGGCTTATACCTGCAATCCCAGTATTTTGGGAGACTGAGGCAGGCTGATTGCTTGAGCCAGGAGTTCAAGACCAGCCTGAGCAACATGGCGAAACCCTGTCTCTACAAAAAATGCAAAACTTAGCCAGGCATGGTGGCCCATGCCTGTAATCCTAGCTACTTGGGAGGCTGAACTGGGAGGTTCACTTGAGCTTGGGAAGTTGAGGCTGCAGTGAGCTGAGATTGCACCATGGCACTCCAGCCTAAGCAACAAAGCAAGACTCTATCTCCAAAAAAAAAAAATCTGATGAGATTAACTATAATGAATGTAGGCTATACTCTATTGT